GAAATTTTGTTTGTCTGTTTTCATAGATAGAAAGCGAAAGAAGATGGAGAGTAAAGGGGAAGGTACGTGACCACCAGCCCCTTGATTGGCCTGGAGTCCCTAGTGAGAGAGGCTTTATGGCCAGAAGAGAACCAAGATGTTTTCATCTGTTTGTTCACTCCAGTACATATTTATTAACTCCTAAGCAGTCATACCTCTGCCACTTACATTCTTAGGTCTAGTCTGGTGAGACAGAACACGCAGACAAGTCAGGCCAAAAAGCATTATTCCTCGCAGATGGCAAGAACCCACGGAAGCCTGGGTCCAGGGCAGACCGGCCCCTGAGGCCCAGGAGAGCTGCAGAGGGTGAAGTCTCATCTGTGCATGACCCATGTTGCACCACAGCTAAGAGACCCCCAAACACTCCAGCCTAATTCTATGCCCAGGAGCATCTGATGTCCTTGAGCACAAGCACTGCAGGACATCCTGTTCTAGAAGAGAAAAGGACAAAGCACGGGCTGTTCCAAACAGCTCCTTAAAGTTGCGTGATGTGTGGACCTTCCCATACCATTGCCAGTATTTAAAGTCTGTCTCTGATTTTATGTTTGTATTCTAAATAATCCACATTTAGGATGTCATTCATTTAGAACCATTGATGGCCTTTGGGATTTCCATCAGACTGGCAATAGACCATGCAAGGACTATTCGCATCTGGGGTGAAGTGCTCTGAATATGTGGGTGTCAGATCCAGCAACACTTCAAATCACCACCTGCTGCTACTGCCATGCTGATATTCACCAACGTGCAGTCAATCCAGGCACCACTGGGTATCCTAAAGGAACAGGAGGGGGAGAGATTAGTTTCCCCAGTCTTCGCCCACTTCCCCATGTCCTGTGGTGGGAGGTGTTCCTGCCTATCACTTCGGTGCCAGCTGTCCAGGTATTGTAACCCAGGCTGTGTGTCCCAGTCCCAAGGCTACTACCTCTGCGGCACCTGTTGCCCTCATCGCTTAACCCGGCCTTTCAGCCTCAGTCGTCCAGTCCAGGAAGGGAGGTCATGTTCAGTCGTCCAGTCCAGGAAGGGAGGTCATGTTCAGTCATCCAGTCCAGGAAGGGAGGTCATGTTCTGTACAAACTTGACATGCCCACCTGCTCAGAAGGATCCGATGTCCTGGTGCCAGTAGAGGGAGGCTTGCGCCCTGGTACTGCTTGCTTCCCATCCTGCACCCCCACAGGATCCCATAGAAGAGCGGCACCCAGGGAAAGCACCACCTCCAGAGTACAGTCAGGGTCCCGGTCTGGAGTGCTAAGATGGCATGAACCGCGGACCACCCCCAGCACAGTCCTCTAAAGGGAAAAGGGAAAAAGAATGGCTGGGAACATCGAGATTGGGATTTCACAGGCTCAGCCCAGTCATGTGGCTGCCGGCTTCAGCTACGGGTCCTTTAGTAGTCCAGTCACTCAGTTACCATTCTCCTGACCAAACGGCAAGGCTGTTGGCAACGGCCCGTGGGCTGGTGAAAATGTAGCAAGATACGGTGTTAGTGGTGGCGTGCACGGCAGTACTCTGGCACAGAGTTTGGCTCGTTGGCGGAATGTCCATGTTCACTCTTAGTCAAAAGATGGCCAAGTCAGTGGACCCCGTCTGCGTTCAGTTTCACAGAGCCCTCAGTAAGCCATGCCATACCATTGGCGGGCATGTCCCTGAATCTCAGGCCCTTCCCACGGGGGTAGGGGTGGTCAAGACCCAGGGGATTCCTCTTGGCACCAGGTCGTGCCAGGCTGGGGATAGGGTGGTGCAGGTAAAATGCTTCCCATGCTTTTCTATGCAGCCATCTTCGGCTTTGGTACTCCACTGAGCTGCTACAGGTTTTAATTGTACTCTGGAGCTCTCTCGGTGCTATTTTCATTGGTGGGTAGTTGTTAAATTGCTTTTTTTGTAGGGGGTCAGGAACTAATGCCTCCTCATCTGTCATCTTGCTAAAGCCATTTCTCTTCAATTCTCAATGTCTTTTGAGGTGTTTTTTTCCTTGACCCAGGATCCAACCAAAGATCAAACACTGTAGTTAGTGTCCTTTAATCTGGAACAAATAGTTCCTCTACCTTTTTAAAAAATCTTTATGACATTGACATTTTTGAAGAGTTTATACCCATTGTTTTAATGAATGTCCCTTAATTTAGGTTTGTCTGTTTCCTCAAATTAGATTTAGGTTAAGACTTTTTTGGCAAAAACATCATATAGGACAGATTGTGTCCTACTCAATGAATCACATCAGGGCATAAAATATAAAATATCAGTGTGTCCTATTATTGGTGATGATAAATTGATCATCTAATTAAAATAATATCCTCCAAATTTCTCCATTGTAAATGGCACCTTTTTCTATTTGTAATTACTAAGTAATCTGCTATTTTCAGAAACTCTGATGACCAAACACAGCTTGGTATCCCATAGAACTCATAAACAGATCCAAATAAGAATTTTTTTGGTCACCTTGCATAGGCAAAGAGATGGAAGCACTGGATTAGCATGTGGGCTTTGAGGTAGGAATTCTGGGAGACTTGTACCCTTCAGGTACTCTGGTTGGATTGTGTGCTGTCTGCAGAATTTTTTTTACCTGACATTTGTTAAGGAGCCAAAGTAGAGAAACACAATGAATTGTGAAGGAAGCATCTATCTGATGTGAGGAGCTTGAAATCAATAGTACATCTAAAGCAATTCTACTTTGTCTTTCTTCCTTCCTTTCCCTACCCTACCTAGATATTTTGGGGCATTCATGTATATTTGCTGGTGAGTGTTATTTGTGAGAGGATGAGGAACCACGATTCTTATTTGTTTATGATAATTTGTCTCCCTGGCTAATAGATCCCTAACAGATGGTGAGCAACTTGAAGATAGGGGCAGCTTAGACAGACTCTGAAACATATTAGTTTTTGCAGAAGTAGAACTTAGAAGGTAAAATTGAATGTATTGGTCATGCAGTAGAAAATAGTTTGGGACTAAAAAATAATAGCGACTGCATTATTTATCTACACAACCAACAGCTAAATAATTTCATAGTTGACTATATTCTGTGCTACACTTTTCACTCTTATTTCTCACAGAAGGTGCACCTGACTTTGCTGGAAATTTGTATGTAGTTACGTAATATATTCCTAGGACTATAATAAATCTCCCCACTTGATCCTCTGAATAAAGTCACTTCAGAATGTGTTCAAATGCTGAACCATTCAAGTAAAAAGGCATGCTGTTTTATAGAAATCTGTTACGCTTTTGTTCTAAAAGTCTTTAAGGCTTCAGAGTCAGCAGACATATTCCACTATCAAAACTACAAAAATATAATTTAGTTGTCTTCGAAGTGCAAAAATTTGGAAGACTTGACATGTAGTAACAGATTAATTATTTTTCCTTTATTGCGTATTGACCATGACATTACAAAGATGGACTCTCGGTTTTGAGTCACTTCCACTTGCAAATGTTTCGGTGTTTCCTGATCCATTATGACTGCACAGAGTATCTCTACCTTTTAAAGATGCGCTGGCTTGAAACAACGTCTCACCTTACATTTTCTATGAATGAAAATAATGTAGACCGTGAATGCTAAGAGTACACAACCACATAGGCCACGAACAGGGGACCCGTGGAATTCACCAGATGGAAGCAATGCAAAGCAAATGTCCTTACCCGCCCTCCACCAGTAGAGGACAGTCCTCTTCCTACAGACTACCAAGTGGTCTCCAAAAGTGAGTGGCAGGAAGTTATTTTAGAATTTTTATTTTTAGTTATTATTTTTATCTTAGCTC